TTTTGAAATAAGAATAACGCGTTTATGAAACATAATCATAAATAGGAATTATATTGTGCACAACTTTTGTTGTTCTTTGAATTTTATTCACGGAGAAAAAAATTGTGGTAAAATTAACCTACTTTATGGCAATAACATTTCTGGCAATAAAAAAATTACAGTCCTGGCAATAAAACCAGAAAATTTGGTATTTATAAACCATTTATATTGTAATATTTTCGTTTATATGGCAATGATTTACCGGAAATTCTGGTTTTTAATTTAACAAAATAAACGTTTTTTTTAAGAAATCATGATAAATTACCACATTTTGTTACGATTACAAAATTTTATCACCTATTACAACACTATATTTTATGGTTAATTTAATCAAAAATCATTAACTGAGCATTTTGGTTCTCCCATTGAGCCAGAAACACGGTAAATTAAACCATATTCTGGTAATTTTGACCATACTTTCTTCTCAGTGTAGTTTATGCGAAGAATTATATAACGTGAATAGAAGAGGAAGGTGGATGTTGTAAATTATTGTATTAGCTTAAGTTCATTATGAAGTGTGATTTTGAAAGATGGGAATATTATATGTAGAAAATTGCTTTTATAGTGAAGATAGTTGGTGCTTTTAAAGTGATAATAAGTTAGAGATCAAATTGATAATCTACATCTTCATTTTAATTATTATTATTTTATTGTAGTTTTTATTTCCTCAAAACAAAGTAATTTCCGAATTTTATTTATTTATTTTCGAATTTATAGGGAAGGTTTTTTGGAATATGATGCTTGTTTACTAAATAAATACAAAAATTGCTACTAATACTTACTGCTACTTTACTAAATACATACTTTTAAAAAAGATAAATTTAGAATTTGATCTATATAATCGCATTGCTATTGCACTTTAAAAAAAAAATATTATGAATTTCTTTCTAAATTGCTCAACAAACTAAATTGCCATGTAAAATATAGTTTTCCACACTAATCAATATAACTATATTCAGAACTACAAAAAGAATTTTTAACTATTTAACAAATATACTTTGCAACAAATTATTAATAATGTTTTATGCAGAAATGTATATTTTATTCCTAAATGGTTTTATACCACAGTTTTAAATTATTATAATATTATATATTGTTTATTATTGCGTATGCTAATGACAAATAAGTCATCATAGAAAATCCGATAAATTTTTTTCTATGTAAATGCTTTCTTGCAATATTAAAGAAATAGGAGCTTTACATTTTTTACAAATAATTATAATTTTGAAAAGTATTTTTATTAAAAAATATATTTATATTTTTTTACTACAACATGCGATTATAAATTCAGTATTTATTTTCTCCTCATTTATTGTACACTTTTTGCAGCTGTAGCAATATCGATTGTAAATGGACTGTTGCTTAAAGTAATAAATACTTTCCCCCCTTTTTTGTAGTAAGAGAAAGTAAAGGAAAGTTAATGATGTAATTATAAAATTTAAAGAAACATAAAATAAAAAATTAAATAAATCTAAATGTTAAGATATTTTATCATAATTAAGTATTGTTTCATAATTACATTATATTACAATCATTTCGATTATTAAATTTAGCTCAATGGAGATCTTTAACAGGTCACGTGGTTTTAGCCCAACCATTTGACATAATTAATGATTCAAAGACGTGTCATGAATTTCATAAGCTTACAGCTAAATTGTTCACGCACTGTTTAGCTGAAATTGATTACTGTTTATTGAATTCGAACTTATCTGGATTCTCAAAATTAATTCTTATTTTTATTTCTTCTTCTTTTAGGATTTATAACGGAGATAAATTGGTTATTGATGAATGATGGTACACAGAAATAGCTTAACTAGTCTCTCAGTTGTAATTTATAATTACAGTTTAACAATGAATAATATTTATCTGGTCTGCCAATACCGTAATTTTAAAAAATCTTCAAATAGCAAAATAAATATTGGAAACGAATTTCAAAATTCAATTTTTAAAACTTACATTACAAGGCTTTGGAATATTTTCTGTTACAGTTGAACAAGGACTATTTTTAAATTATTATTGCTTCAAGTTTTAAATAACGAGAAATATTTAATTACAAAACCTTTACAAATATACATATATATATATATATATTTATTAAAAACGTAATGCATTATTCATTCTTTAAAGCCTACATTTATTTTAAGTTAAGTATTTACTATATTTTAAATTATAGTTTGATAGGATATAGTAATTATATTATTTGTCCTACAATTTAAAGCAATAAGAAAGACTCTCTGATAAATGGAATAAAACTAAGAACCAATTAAAAAAATTATTTTCTTAAGATTTTCGTTAATTTGCTACTTTTGTTACTAGCATAAATGAAGTTCATTTATTATTTTTCCTTATGACACTTGTAGATATAAAATCCTGTTCTGACGTTTTCAAATTTTTAAGCTTTTTTAACCTGATAAATTCATGCATTTTAAAAAATTTAAAGATTTTAATTATAACTGAATGGAATTATAAATGATTACAGTTAAGCAAATTATTTCTGGGCTAAATAACATTGATTCGGAAAAACATCTGCAAAAGATTTTTTTTAATCTAATAATAGAAATAAAATTTATTAACGAATTTATAAGATACTAATACGAAATAATAAGGAAATAAAAAATTATAGTAGTGGAATATTTTAAAAAAGACCTTGGTGAGTGTGAAAAAAATTTTTTTTCTCTTTTTTAAACTTTGTTTGTTGAAACACGATAATTATAAGAGTATCCAGCAAAATTATAGAGCAAAGAGAAAATTTCTCTCAGGAGAAGAAAAAATCTTCGAATTATATACGAGAGAAAAATTATCAACGCTTTCATGCGCTTGGACGGCCTAAACCTGATCTACCAGAGTTAGACTCTGTTGATTATTTCTCGATTTTTGTATGTTGCTCCGCCTGATGCCAGAAACGAGTAAAATTGTGAACTTTGAAAGTCCTTGTCTTAATCAAAAGTAAAGGGTATAAATCCATCTGACGTCATTCAAAAAGCGAGACATTAGCGGCTCAGAGACAAGGACGCCGCGACGCCGCGTCTTCAAGAGGGAACGGATGGTTGGAACTGGGATGTTGGCAGAATTCCAGGGAGCTTCCATCATCCAGTTAAGGTTCATGTCAGACACTGGCGCAGTTTAAACTCCCATCATTTTCTCGCCCCCTTCCAGCTTCATCCCCCCTTACCAGCTTTCCATAAAGGAATCGTTGAAGGTTTTCCAACCCGATCGAATCTCGCCGTTGGGAGACCATTTTTCTTGAAGCAAGCAACATTGTCAGAGCCTTGTCGCGTCCTTATGAAGCGCTTTCTCAGATTTTTCAATTCAATTTTCCTTCAGAAGGGAAACAAAAAATGATAAAAAATATATCTATGGATCGAGAAAGGGGAAGAAAAAGCGAAACGATCATCTTCAGGATTGCTTTCGATTGGGAGCATTAAGAAAACGTCAACGACCAATTAGATGGTACTTAACATTCTCAAAGATCGAGACTGAAAGAGCGAAAAGCTTAATTTTTCATTTCCGGAACTACCGCATTTGTAACAGTTGTTGGATTTGGTCAGTGAGGAACATTTGTTAGACACTTTACTTCTCATTAATAAGGAAATTACTTTCTATTTTAAACATTTGAGTAAATTGATTAACTAATTCACTACAATGATTCCACTATTAGACTAGCTATTATTCAATTGCTTAATATAGGGATCACTTGGTGGTCACAGTGTGCAATTAGTTTATCTTTACATTATTAATTACAATAAAGTTATAAAATTGTATTATATTAAGAAGATTTGAATAATAATTATTGATATTTTAATTTTATACCAAAAAAGGGAAACGATTTAAAAACGTATTTGTAGTTCCCCCAAAAAAGAGAAAAAATAGGCAATGATTCTCAAAATTAATTTCGTTTGGAAGCACTTAATTGTCAAAAAACATTTAGCTGGTGACTGATTAGAATTGGACCATCCAAACGATCTATTTCCAAAATTAAAACTTTAACGATTGTTGTATTTGTTTATGCCTTACTTCTTATTATTAAAAACTTGCTTCATTTATAACTTAATTGAATGTAATGACATCACAATTTTCATGATTTTTCTTTTTAATTCTGGGAAATTAATTTTTGTCGTTATTTTGTCGATTTTATATTTACCGTACTAATCAGATCAGAATTTATATCGATAATTCAGGTCGATAAGATGTTACATACCCTCTAGTTTGCGAAGGTTTCGCTAAATACCAACTAGTTCGTAAATGATAAATTCCATCAAACTTCTTTTTAAATAATTTAGAGGGTAAACTTTATTTAAGATTCGGCATGAGAAGGATATTTTTTTTCTGTAGTAACAGTGTATAGTATAGTGTATCATGAGCACTTTTAAGGTTTCTGAATTTGGTCAATAGAAATGTAAGACATTTGATAGGTTCTTTACATTTCAATTACGTTCTCCTTTAAAAATTTAAGAGGGAGAAAAAAAAAGGACTCCAAGGGCTAAAATTAAATTTAATTAAAACATTCATTATTCGTCCACTGATTTTGTCACTGTAGTAGATTGTAATTACTTTTCAAAATCCAAATTACACTAATATTATTCAAAAACAGACATATATATTTTAAATGTTTCAGTAGTTTGCATAATAGTTACTAAAATGAAAGCCTTTCCATTAAAATCCAAATTTTGGAACAAATTTAAAATAAAATCTTAAAAAAATCTGCGCTAAAAAAATTTAAATCATTATTATTTTTTTAAAAAAAATAATGAATGCCTTAACATATGAAAAATAATGTGCATGGGTATGTGAAAGCGCAAATCAAGTTCTTAATCTTGCTTGGTATTCTAATTATTACAACAATTTTTATGTAAATTAAGTTAATTCTTTAAACACTTTAACGTAAATAATTTATTTTCAGGTTTAATTATCAAACTAAATAAAAATATATTATTCCTGATCATTGATGTAAGTATCAACAGTTTTGGGTAAAGTAGCATTATTTGTTTTATTATAAAAAGGTTTACGAAAAAATTGTTACTCGCTTACAAATATATTTTTAAGAAAAAAAAAAAAAAAAAAAAAAAAAGGACTGCAACCTAAAAATTTGCATGAATTTGTCAAATGCACTCAACAATTTTACGTAACAATAAAAATAACAATATAATCAACAATATTTATAAAACAAACAAAACATTTCAGGAAAAGGCATAAAAATGACTCTGCTCAGCAAGTACAACAATCAGTACAGAGTACACACATATAAATACCCCTGAGACAGTTATTAAAGCAGAGTTTAAATACTTACTTAAATAACAAGGTAGCAGTTGCAATGAATTTATAAGTAATTCGATGAAAAACAAATGATTATTTAATGCGCATACAATTATTTCACTATTTGAACTTTAATTCTTTCAGATGAATCATGGGAAATGTAAATTATGATGTAACAATTGTAAAACGTGTAACTGATTGCAACTTTTTTTTCCCTTGCCACATGCAGTGCTTTAAGAAAAATAATTCAAAGTCATTAAAACATCTTTCTTTTGGTACATGCCTGAAATAACTTATATTTGCCTCACAAATATTCCAAATTTTGCTGGCACCTGACAGTTTTTAGATTCATGATTTTTAGTGATGCCTTGTAAGAAAAGAAATGACACGAATCATGTTATTTAATCCAGCATGGTTTTCATCTTATAACCTTTTTCATGATGTCCCTTTATGTTGTACGAAACTAGACGAATGTACTTTCTGCAATAACTCACCACAATTTTTTGAGCGATTAAATGCAGAATTGAAAGTGTCGTTCGTACAAAAGTAGTGGACGTTAACGAAGGGGAAGGTTGATCCAACTGTACACTTCTAGATGAACAGGCAGTAATAAGATTTGCATGTGTATCCATGCTGATGAAATTATTTCCAAAATTGAACGAACAAACTGTACACTCGCAAATATGGTATCTCACTTAGCCTTAGGATGATGGGTGCATCTTAAAGGATGATAACTGAACAGAGGATATTTTACTCTGCGAATCATTAATAAAACTTTTAACATAGGCTGTTAGCCTTTTCTTTTCTTAGTGAAATACATTTTTCGGAAAAAAAAAAAACAAAAAAAAAATGTCAAGATTGTCACCGGTAATATATAAGCTCACAACACACTCAGATAATTGGCCCAAGGTTGAATCTCAAAAGATTTGAACCACAATATTGTTAACATTTGAAGCAATCTTAATAGCTGAACTATGTTTCTGTTCAAATTGAGCAATAATATTAGATAATTCTTTGTTAGAAGAATTATTTTCTAAATAATATGGTTTCAGGTTACGAAAATGTGAAAGCAAAGGTTTCATCACATTTGGTTGATATTATGGACCAATGTTATCAACGTATGGTTTGTTCAATGCATAAATTTTAGTTGGATCACTGTTATATAAATTTTAGTGCAGATTGAATAATAACAATGGATAAATGTGCTACATCCTCGGAATGGTGTTATACTGAACTAAAGTGACATTTCTCCTTTTTCACACATGATTACGCAAATTAAGCAAATTCATGATATTGTTAGGAAAAATTTGAATCATATCATTTTAAATAACAACATTATGGCGCATCCTTGAACCAATTAGAGTGAGATAATGAACTTTCTTTCCAATCAAACTGAATTTAATTATTTATGATAAACACGCTGTTCAAAGTGTTTTCCGCATTTTAACAATTCAGTAATCTGTGTCAAAGAGTTACCGATCTAATTATAGTAATTTATTATTTCATTAAAAAAAAGTTATAAAAAGGAGATTTAAAATTCTCTAACTCTCCTCTAAAATTGAAATCATGTCTCTTTTAATACTTGATAAACGCATTTGCTTTCATAATTCGATCAATTTAAAACATTTCACTATAAAACTGAAACATCTGATGGGTCAATAAATAATATGTCGCTTAATATGATTAAAGAGGGAAATTAACATTATTGTTTTAGAGCAAATATGACAGGTACTAATTATCTATTCAAAATACCAATTTTCCTTGTCAGCATGTGAAAAATATGTTTAATAATGAAATTTAAATAAAAAATTAAGTTATGAATTTATATATTATAAATCTCATAATTATACATTTTTGTGCATTTATATACATAGATTGAGTTGGAATATAAATTAAAAATATTAATATAAATATATTTCTAAGAATTTTTTGCCACTACATTGAAGAACGACAGTAGCCACAAACTCTCCCAGATAACATTTCCGCTTCTAATCTCATAATTAAATTCAAGGTGAGTGCGTTTTAACTTTGAACTAAACGTGTCTATCAGGAAAGAAGCTATTGTTTGACATCTGTAATAATCATTTCTACATACAACATTTTAACTCACACTTTTTGAAGAAGAAAAAAAGTGTAAGTTATTATTCGAAATAAAGGCTAATTTTCTGCCAACAAAGAAATTGCTTTGGAAAGACATTATTTAAAGAAAAATGAAAATAAGAAAGATAGTTTAAAAAATGAATACTTTTCTGCTATTTGGAAGATGAAAAATTGATCACTATTAAAACGCAAAAATATATGTTTCCATTAAAAAGTGAGAAATATTTTCAATATTTAGTTTTATATAGTTTAATTATTCTTTAAAAGAAAATATTAAAAAAAAATTATTTTAGATTCATAAATTAGAAATTTATGTCAGTTTATTAAAGAAAAAAAAACTAAACCTTGGGGGAAAATATAAAGTCATTGCTCATTTGTATTAAAATTTTCAGTTTAAAATGAAAGCAATGCATTTTTGAAAAATCATTCAAATTAAAAAGTATCTTGTCACGTTGAATAGTGTGCCATTAATTCACAATACATAATGATGAAGTAAAATTCTAGTGATTATTGAAGGACATTTTAATCAACGCAGTCTGCATACATTTAGCAATTCTTCATTTTAATTTGCATATATTTCAGAACTAAATATCGTTTTTTGAGCAGAGTTCTTTTTTAGTTTTGTTGTTGATGTGGATATTTTAGAATAACAAACAAAAATAATTACAAATGTTGTATAGTATGCAAAATCCTTTTAATCTTAAGATACCCTGTTTGCTATATATTCTGCATATTTATACAAACAAAAATTTTAATAATATCCCTTGATGTGCGTTTTTCAACTACATCACCCATCAGCTTTATTTTGTATTGCACTAATTGTATAGTTTAATAAAACTTTAAAAGGAACATTATCACTACTCGAACCTTTAAGATGCACCCGAAATTGAACTAATTTTCCAAAAAAAAAAGGAAATTATGATAATCATCAGTCTCGAGCACATAATTCGATTGATCTCTTTTTAAGGCATGTTAACATCTCAAATCCAATGTGAATTCACATATATTCGTGTCTATATATTTGCGCAATCGTCTAGTCTTGTCCGCAGAGAGCTTTTCATACATTTTTACAAGTTCTGTTTACATTTATATTGTTCTGGAATGTTAGAAAGTACAAACACGCACACACGAAAAAAATTGTGGACTTAACACTTGATCATCACAGTTCTGTTAGTCCATAATCGGTCTTAGTGTCCACCCCAAGAGAGTTTGGTTGAGAATGAGGTGATGGACCAACCATATGATTGGTCGCTTGAGGGGGTGGTACCACTGGTTGCAACATTGGTGGTTGCGATTGAGGATTGGATAACCTATTTGCATTTTGTTGGTCCGGATTGTTGTTGTTATTATTATTGTTGTTGCTGGCGTTATTATTGTTGTTGTTATTGTTATTCGCGTTATTTGGATTTTTCTTCTTGACGTTCTTCGTATTTGGTAACTTATTATCTTTTTTCCATTTCATCCTTCGATTCTGAAACCAAATCTTGATCTGCCTTTCAGAGAGGCATAACGCGTGAGCAATCTCTATTCTTCTTCGCCGAGTTAGGTATCTGTTGAAATGGAATTCTTTTTCCAATTCTAGGATCTGGTGTCGAGTATAGGCTGTCCTTTGCCTTTTAGGTTCTACTCCAGGGAAATTTCCATTGGCAGCAACTGTAAAAATGAAAAAAAATGTTAGAAAAATTCGACAAAAATATTTTATTAGAATAAGGGCCTAAATAAAAAAGTTTTTCACCTTTGGAACAAATAGATTGTTTTCAATAAAATGTCAAAATATCATACAAAAGTATTTTTACATCAGTTATATATTTTAAGTTAAAAAATTAGTTTTAAATACTAAATTTTATTTAAAGAGTGGCAAATGCTTGAACCAAGTTTGAATGAGCAGAAATACATAATTCATCCCTAGGACACTGTAAAAAATTCTGAATAAAATTAAGGTATAAAGTACCGGCACTTTGGGTGCATATAACATAAATCTCTTTCACCATAAAATCCATTTTTACTGTAAAATATTATGCCGTAATTTTTACAGTAATATTTGTTTAATTAGAGTGATTTGGTGGTTTTAAGGTAAGTATTACAGTAAAAATTACGGTGTATCAGATTTTAGTACCGCAACATGGAGTTTACGGAAAAAAATGCCACCCGGAGTTTTTGGTACTTTTTACAGTAATTTCATCCAGATTATTTTACAGTGAAGACCAGCAAGATTATTTTCAATTAGATGGCAAAAATTTATGTAACCATATATTTTTGCATCAAATATAAACCTTTTTATATTAAAAAATGCGTAGCAAGATTACTAATTTTAAATAAAAATGTTATTAAGTCAAATATTGCTGTTTACTCAAATTCGATATTTAATTATCAAATTTGAAGCCGTTTTTCAATGAATCTATTAAAATAATTTCGAAAAGAATTCATACATCTTTGTTCGTCCTAACCATTATTTAACTGGCTGAAAAGGAAATAGAAATTGAATTATAAAATGTAAGTATTTGCTCATGAAAAGTATTTAAAGTATTACAAATGTTATTTTGATCCCAAAAAGTCCCTAATAATGAGCAATACATCAATCAGAATCAAGTGAGTTTAATCTTAGTGATCATAATGATATATAGTATAAAGGGAAAAAAGAAATTTTAAATTTCTTTTAGAAATGACAAATACAATCCAAGTAATAATTTCGTCTGAATAATTGGTGTTTTACAAAAGACTTTAAACAAACGTTTTTTTCATTGCTGAGATAAATTTCATAATTCCTCAAAAGTAGTCACTTGTAGGACAATACAGATAGCTTTTCTATTTTGTTCAAGTTATTTTTCTGATTGCTGTATTTTGTTAAAATGTACAAATTTAATAACGTTATAAATAACAGTAAATATTGTGAGGGAGTTAGGGCACATTATCAGAATTTCATAGCGTCCCATGCCTGGAAATGCCATTCTGCACGGCTTGGGGTGATCCTCTATTATGACCTGTTCAGAAGCACACGAAGAAACAGCTCATGAATTATTTTGAGATTTTAATCACGACGATGTCTGCTAACTGCCTTAGAACTTGTAGATTTCTTCAAAAAATAGACTTAAAATATTATTTAATAGAAAAACTGTAACTTGGAGAGAAAAACCGATAGCACATTCGAAATCAGCGATACAAAAGTGTGTGCTTCAAAAATCTCATGCAACAGAAAAAGCTATCTTTCCAATGCAGTGTAATCTATCAATCCTAGGGTAATCTATTAAACTATTAGATTATATTTGTAACAAATAATGTGCTTGTTGTTAACTTTTAATAAATGTTTAGGAATATGAACCGCAAATTGGTTTATGTTTTCCTCAAATATATATATATATATATATATATATATATAAATGTAATCGAATAAATGTAATTATATCCACGAATAAATTAATATCAAATCGGATGTAATAAACTTCTTCAACGTTTCAACTTCTTAACCTTGAATCCAGAAAACAAGAAAACATCTGTTTAAGGGACAAAGTTACACCCCCCTTCAAGAAGAATTCTTTTAAGTGAAACTAATCAGCANTCTACGTACAATGTAAAATGTTCGACAATTTAGATATTAACTATTTTTTATATATATTTAAAAAAAATTAACTGAAAAGTTTTTCAACTGAAGAGCTTAGTGCACTTAAAGCCCTTGTCATTTTAAAATACTCAAATTTCGAGCTGAAAATATCATTTTATGTTTGGCAGTGGCGTATGGAGAAAACAAACATCCATCTTAAAATAAAATTTGTCATTTGTTAAAAAAAAAAAAAAAAAATTCAAACATTTGAAGGTTCCTTCTTTCAATACTTCTTTGAATGATCTAAAACTTCTCTATTGTAAAGTAGCTTAATATAGTCCAATTGTAGAATGATATGATCACGTGATGAAAATGTTTAGATAATACCACAAAACTTAAAGTAAATTATGATGCTTAACATACTTTTATTTCCCTTAAATCATATATAGTTTGTCAGTCATCATGATATCTTGTGAAGTTTTTAATATAACTATTAAGTTCATTACAACTTGCTCGAAGAAATTAGCAAAACTTTTGGAGAATGCATAGCTTGATAATTAATTCTTGAATTTACAACATGGTATTTCAAACAACGTAAATAACAGCAAAATGAATTAATTGGTAAAATGAAAATAACTATGTAATAAAAAGAAACACGAATGCCTCAGTTAGAGAGAAATTGAAATAAAACTCTAAGTGTCTCACAGTTTCCATAAAATACACTTTGCAATTTGTTTTGATACATTAAGTCCATAAAAGAACGATTAAATTCCTTTTAAGACGAAATTAACATAACCTTTGGGAAATTCTCACGTTAATTCTTAATTCTTGGATAAATAACATCAAATTTTTAAACAAAGTTAACAAAAGCAAATTTTTGGTTTCATACAAATAATAAAGGATAAAATTGAAAAAAAGTTAATATCCTAATCAGAGAAAAAAGTAAACAAAATTCGAAGAATTCCATCATTCATATAAATTTTCAAATGCTGTTTGTTCTTCGTAGAAACAAGGAAATCTAAAAACGATTGATTAATCTCTCCCCAAATTCATTGCAACTAACTCTCCGATGATACTTACAAATGCTCACTTATCAATTCTTAATTTTCTAACATCAAATATATATACATATATATATATATTTCAAATGATGTCATCATTAGGGCAAATTTAAATAAATAAAAAAACAATGACGATTTAAGCAGAAAAAAACGAATATTTATTAACTCTAAGAGTCAGATTAATTACGAAATTCTGTTTGGCGACAAACAAACATAAAAACGACAAATTAAACTCACCCCAACTCCCCGATGAAATTTTCAAAACTGTTCGGAAATGCTCACTTTGCTTTTCATTTCGTAATTTTATCAAAGAACATAAAATTTTTAACTTTCAAATGACGCTAGCTAAAGCAAATTTAATTATTAAACGAAATATAATAAATAAAGAAAATTGTAATGCTTTAAACAGAAAATGAATAAATAAATATAAACTCTAAGAATCAGATAAATTATCAAATTCTGTTTCGTGAAAACGAAGTCTATAAAAAAACTATTAAACTTACTCCAACTCCCTGACGAAAGTAACAAAACCTTTGGGGAATGCACACCTTGATTGTCAATTCTTGCAGTTACAACATCATATTCTTAAACAACCATAACAAGGGGGAGAAGTTTTGGAAAAAAAAGTTTTCCTTTTTTTAAGATAAGAAACGATGATTTTTAGGGAGGAGTATCGTAAGAAAAGCAACGCAGCATACTAAGCCCCTTTCCACGGAAGCTATTTGATTTATTGTTATGGCTTGCGTAATATGAATCCGGAACGATTTGGAAAACGCTTTAAGTCTGTCTACCAGCCAGATATAATTTATGATTATGGCTTCTATTTATCGTACATGCACGTGGCCCCCATTAAAGTCTAGTTAACCTCGCTTAAGTCATTCTAAATCGCTCCCTTGTTCAGTTCCGTTGCTTATATTTTAATGTGGTTAAAGGAGTAAAAAGAATCATCAACGATAAAGTTTTGTGAATGGGTAGTGATTTTACAACTTGTATGGGCTATGGGATGTATGTTTCATTCAGAAAAGACTAGCTTTTAATACGTCATTTTTACGTCATTGGTTAACTTCCCTGAGAAAAAGACATTCAATTATACAATGGTTAGATAATTAAAACTTTAATGGTTTCATGGAGGATTTAATGATAAAAGAAAAGGTGTTATTTACTGTTTAATATCTTCTTTACAACAGAATGAAAAAGAAAGAAAATTCGAGTCATTTAAAAGCAATGCAAAAAAATATCGTAAAATGAAATTTTTTTTCCATTCATATTTCTTGGTTGCTAAAAGAATATATGTAAACTCTCAGTGGAAAGTGAAAAGGGGGATTTCTCCCTTAAATATTCGAAGTATTTTGCAGTATCTGAGGAGCGAATTGTTGAAAAAATTCTATACCTTTTGATTTAAAATTTGAACTATTGTTCGTTCTACAATTGTTTGTTTGTCAATTCAACATTCATTAAAACAATCTTTTACTTAATTTAGACAGAACTGGTGTGCTTTCGATTTATACACACTGTAAAAAATTACAGAAAAAGTACCACCATTCAGGGTGCCAATACTTTTTAGCATAAAATCCATTTTAACTACAACATGTTACGGAACAAAAAGTCTGATATACCGCAATTTTTACAATAATATTTACAGTTATATCATCGCATCACTCCAATTAAATAAATGTTGCTGTAAAAATTGCGGTAAAAATGGATTTCACGGATACCGCAATTTGATCCGGTATTTTTTACAGTGAAGTTGATTATTTTCAAGAACAGTTATAGTTAAACATAAATTTTCTTCGAAAAAAATAATCTCTCAATAAAAAATCTCATTTATTTAAGGTAGAAGTTTATGTATTACAAAGATTTAACTCACGCACATACAACTCTCATATTTATTTACCAGAGCTCTATGTAGCACACTGTCTACAGAAATTATGGTTCTCTAAACAGGTTGCACAAAAAATACATACGTGAAACATGTGGTATGTTATGTGAAAGTACTAAATCTCTAATTTTATTCTGAATATTTGCTGAATGGATATAAATAATTAATTTTTTTT